GCAAAAGATTGAGCTTTTTTGAGGCTGATTTTTCTGTTCACCTATTTTGTTGATTCTACAAGCCAATCTATGGTCATTTGTATTTAACAATTTGAAACTCTCAGAATGCCTTTGAAAGGTGAATCCTGGTCAAGATATTTCAATGTATTCCTGACAGAACTGCTTTAGGCAATACTGATATGTAAAGTCATGTTGACATTCACTGGGTTAAAGTTCTCTTTATCGCTGTCCACATATGGGTCTTGCTAAACCAAGTGTTCTTGAAAACTGGGCAAATTATCTATAGGCAAATGCATATTAGTAGTTAAAAATAAGTCTTCCCTATTAACTTAAAAAACATTTTGCCAGGATTCAATATTAATATATTAGAATGTTCAAATTAGTATGTTTGTTTGGAAGTAAATTAAACATTTCCTAAAAAGTACTATTGTACTTCAAATACTATTCTTACTTTTCTTATTCTCTATTTCTTATTCCAGCAGGGCACAGTATCAACAGTAGTATAAACATTTCTGCTCTTTTTTTATGTGATTTTAGGAGAGTCACTTTATCTTGGTGTGGTAACCATGGAGGTGTCCTACTCAGATCTCCCCTCAAAAGTACCTCTTATGGAAAGCACAGATGACTGACAGCTATCAGTTGCCATACACTTGGAACTCATGTCAGCAATGGTTCTCTCAGGTTGCTTTTAACATTTGAGCACAGTGAAAGTACTATATCCAGGTCTTGCCTGTCTACACAGCCTTAGGTGGCACTGCTAGCAGAATGCCTCTCCAGGCTTGGAATCCCACCCAGCAGAGCATCCACAGAAAATTCACTTCATAGAAAAGGAAGTACCCAAATTGTCTATGTCCATGAGATGTAATTGTTATATACTATACTATTTAGGTGAAACTCGCCTCATAAAGTACTATAAAGGCCTGTTGAAGTCAGAGATAATAATCTGCAAGGATGGTGGGCCATGCTTCAGGATATAACATGAGTACTACATTAGAGATCTCCTTGGGGCATTGCGACGTTAGTAGGAATACGAAGATCTTGGAACAAAGGCATGGAAGTGAGAATGGGCCGTTTACACTTATTCCCAATGACCCAAAGGAGAACTTTGTGTTTTGTCTTCCAAATCTCTGGGCTGGGCAGAGTTAGAGATCTTGATATTCAAAGGTTTCCTCTATTGAAAGGGGGCAGTGCAATGATTAATTAAACTATAATTTATGTATAGTTGTAGGACATTTTTGGTTCTTTGTACCCAGAGTCAGTATGCAGGGAAAATGATTATCAGGAGAATGATTACACATGAAGAACAAAGTAATATACATGGGGAACCCAGGTTATATACTTGACAGCCTCTTAGTATTTCTTTTCCTAAATGTACTTGTGAATAGATAAATGCAGAAACTCAGACTAAAAAGATGATGATGACCAAGGGTTACAACTCCTTATAAATGAATGCTTGGATTTTACTATCAGGTAAATCAACACAATTTGCTTAAGTGTTAGCTGAGAGTGAGGGGAATATGGAATAGATAGTGAAGACAGGACAACTACCAGTGTGGCCTGAGACCAACTGCAATAACAAGGACTATGGACTGTTCCATTGACCTTACTTTTCTAAGCTTATCCTTAGGAAGAAAGGTTTATAGGAATCATGGAGAAGTTAACTACAAACATATGAACAGGTTTGTAGTCTCTAACTTCTACACTACTGAATTTGCTTCCATCTGTGAACCCACACTAGGTACTTTTAAGAAATAAAGATAAAATATTATTGGTGCTTTTCTTGCACTGCTCTCAGGCAATGACTAAGCACAACAGAGATACTAAAACTGGCCATTCCTGCCCATTTTGAAATTCCTCTGACATACCACTTTGGTTTAGGGCTACCTATCAGTCTGGGCAAGATTTTCAGAACTGCATTGCAAACTGGAATTCTTATTGCTTACTCTTTCCTTTTCTTCCTTTAGTTTTCAACCTGCATCACAAATTTGAGTCTCTCTGCCTTCTGCTCCTTCTCCTGTTTTCCTTTCCAGACATTTTCTTCGATCAGTCTTTCACACATCTAATCCTGGCCGGCATCTGCTTCTTGAAGATGGCTAATGACACATGGGCTTTTTGTTGCTGCTGTTGTTAATTTTGGCAAAAGAAAATTATATCCACATTAGGTGATTGGAATGATTTAAGATCTCAACAGGAAAAGCAGAAAACAGCCTAACGTTTAGCTTCTGATATAACTTATTTTTGTTTCTTTTCTTTTCTTTTTTTTTTTTTGAGAAGGAGTCAAGAATTGCTCTGGTTTAATTCAGTTTAAATAAAAAAATCCCCACTTTTCCAAAAAAAAAAAAATTATGACTCTGAGGATAACTGATAGCTGGGTTAAGACCATTTCAATTTATTTTATTTTCAGAAATGCAAATATATCTATTGAACTATAATAAATTAAACCTAGTATGTGTACGGTGGCCCTGACTAGATATTTAGCATACAGCCTTCCATGGTAATTCTGAGAAGATACAGTGAGGAAATATAATAGTTTTTTAATGATACAATACACGTAACAGTGTTATATTAAGCAACCAGTTAACATTTCATTAATTGATATAATTTATGTAAAATGTTTTCAAAGGGGAGAAGAGATATTGAGAGAAAAAAAATTCAAAGGATAAAAAGAATCTGAAGGAAAGATACTTAAAACAAAGATCCTAAGAGGAAGCCTAGGAGCTGGGCAAAATGGGACACCATCAAGCTAAACATAGAGTGATTAAGAATGGCCTCAGCATTTTTTTCTAATATATAGTATATTATCTAATATACCTAGGATATACACACTGTAATGAATTTGTTGAGGATGTCTTTTAAAAACTTATAGAGCAGTTAACACAAACATAATCTTAAGGATGTGGTTTTAGAAAGAGAACCTCAGTATCTCCTCTCCCCATCTTTGTGTGAAAGTAAAGGACACAATAATAGGCAGAAAATACAATAGGAGTTTTGGGGATGTTCTAAATCTATTTCATCAACATCATTCATCATGTTAACTATTATTAATTTCACACAATCTCCTAAAAAATGATGGGAAAAGGCCAGAGTAACCTTCCTGGGATTAAAATTACTCATATTAGCTTTTTGTGACCCTGGATAACCAGGCTTCATCCAATCCATCCAATTTATTTCCTCCTATCTCCAATACACCCTCTCAACTTGTCAGGCTGGTCTGCCCACTGCTGTCCAACATACCATATGTATTCCTGTCTTTCTGCCTTTGGTAGGTCCACCATCTCCTTCTGTTCAACTCTGCTCATCTTTCAAGCCCTATCCATACTCTAGCTTTCACCCTGTAGTTTAGTTTTTGGAGTTCTTACCATGTGCACCACCTAACGTGCTGCTTTCTTGTTGTTTGTTGAATATATTTTCTCTCTCCAACCAGACTATAAACTACTCAACCACTTGACTTACTTTGCAAATATTCAGAATTGTGGAATTTTAAACTACATGATTTTAGAAGCTAAAACTGATATGCCAATTATTACTGCTATAGTCAACCATACCAAGTACTTGGAGTTAATGAAAACAGTATGTATAGTGACATTAAATGCCTACCTATGCACACTAAAGGATCCCAAGTTTCTTACATATACTATCTTATTTAGTTCATAATCCTTATAGTTTTCTTTTTCTAAAATCCCATGTCTCATTCGTTCAATTTTATTGGTTCTATCTTCAAAATAGAGGTGGAATCCTCTCACATCTCACCAAATCCAGAATCTTGACTCTAAGCCCCAGCATCCTCCTCCTGAATCATGGTTTCCTAATAGATGTGTTTTCAACATTGCACAATGTAACCTTTCCAAACTTTTAAGTCATGTCTCTATTCTAAAGCCTCTCAGGATCTACAAGGTCAGACATGATCTTCCCTTTTCTTTACTCTGACCTCTTCTCCCACTATGGCTGCTCAACCTACTCCAATTATACTCATCTACCTGTTCTTCCATCATCACACAATGCACAATGCACAATGCACGTAGTGCATTAGATATAGTTTTTTCTTCTGCCTGGAACACACCTCCAGTTATATACACTGCTGTTTTCTTTTAAAACTTAGTTCAACTCACCTCCTCAATAAGGCTTACATTGATGCTCTATTTAATTCTGCATTTGCCCCTCTGTTTTGATTCTTCTCAATTTTTCTTTTTAGCACATCTCACTTAACATACTATTTCATTTTTTAACCATATACTATGTTTGCTTTCCCTACTTCCATATAAACTCCATGAGGGGAATGGTCTGTTTTATTTATGGATATATCCCAAGAACCTAAAACAGCCCTGGTACATGTAACACCCAATAAAATACTTGGTGAATTTATTTTGAAGCTATACTTTCTTGCTGCAAGGCAACTGTTCTTTGGTTTAGAGCCTTACTTAGTTTCCCAGCTTCTGTGTTTGACAAAGAGCAATAACCAGAGATGGCCTAGTCATAGGGCTAGTCCTGGAATTTTAAATCACCACAACCCTGCACCTGAGGGGCTCAATTTTACACCCGGGCCTCACAGGTTAAGAGGACAGAGAAGATATAAGCCAAATAGCTAAAGTGTGTAGCTAGTTTCGTAGGGGTGGTTGAGGGAAGGATGGAAGGAAGGAAGGCAAACCTCCTCTCCTTCTTTCATCTCTTAAGCACATGTGACTTCGAACATCCTCTAACGGAAACATATCTAGTGCCACCTGGGTCCGAAGGTGCGGGACAGGCCTTGCCCTTCTCCCGGCAGCTTCAGTGCCCTCACTTAGGTGGTTATGCTGTGCCTAAACATTATTTTTTTGGGGGGGGGCCGGGTGGCGTCTGCTACAGAGCGGAGGCGCGGAGGCAGCATACCCTCAGCGCCCAGAAGTCCCACGAGCAGTAGAAGGGAGAGCAGCACGGGTCCGCGGACAGGCGGTGGAATGAACGCCCGCGTGAGGCCCTGGCCGTCACTCGAGCGGCAGCTGCGGCTCTGACCCCGCCCCTCCCGCCGCACGCACGCGCACTGCACCCAGCATGAGGGTCGTGGCCCTGATCAGGTAACCGGGCGTCGGAGCCGCTTCCCTCTTCCCCGTCTGCCTCTGGTTCCTTCCTGCAGCCTCTGGCGCCCACCGAGCCGGGGTCGGGGTCCGGTCGCGGTTCTGACCTCCGCGGCTCCTAGCACCTCAGGAAGAGGCGGAGCCTTCGGCCTGTTAGGTCCGGCTTTGGCTTGCGCTCCGCCTTTCCAGCGGTCACTACCTCCGGTCCTGTGCCCACACACTCGGATTCACCTGGGGGAACTTAAAAAAAAAAAAGTCCTAACGCCTGGGTCCCACCGCCAGAGGCGCTGGTTTAATTACTCCAGAGTGGCCATCCGCGGGTTTTTAAAAGCCGTACTGGCCTTGAAGTTATGAGGCCACTGCTTGATTCCACGTACTCAGTTAATTAACTCCTGCCCCTTTCTTCCCGGTTTTCTTTTTCTTCAATGATCCCCTTAAGTTCACCGATTCGCGGTGTCCTACCTTTCTCCCTAGGCTTTCTGGTTCCGCCCTGCCCTTTCCAGTAAGGTCACCTACTTGTATGGCTTACCTGAGCTAGGTGGATTGCTTATAGCATTCTCATGTTTCTGTCTTGGAGCTCAAGTACAGAGTGGGAATCTCTTCTCTCCTGATGGAAAAGGAATTGTGCCAGTTTTATGGTACATCTAGTTGCAGTTGCTTCGGATGCTCGTAGCTGCTCTAGTGATGTGTTAAAATATACCAAAAGGAGTTTAAAGTACATGATAATCCATCATGTTTAGGTATATAGATAAATGAACCCAAACCAGGCCAGTTTACATGTCTCTTTACTCAATCAATAAATTGAGGCAAAAGGAAACATACTAGCAATATTACAAAAGGGAATTTAGGCTAATATTTGTTTTATGAGATTTGGATCTGAAATATACTGCAATGATACATTCAGAGATTTTGTAGATTTCATAACGTTTAATTCAATGCTCTACGTAATTGATAGTAGTTGACAAAATTGATCAATTAAAGACTCCAGATTCCAGTCCCTCTAGTGACTGAAACATTCCAATTTCTCCTACTTCAATGCCATTCTTAGAAAACTAGACTGTACTGTCACACTAATCATTGTTATTCAGTAAATTGCCCATGTGAAGGGAATGATTAAGGTGTAAACGTTGTGGGTTTCATTTGCTCTAGAGATATTAAGAATTAAAGTGGCCCAGGAAACGAACAATTCACATCCACAGTCATTTTTACAAAAGTCTAAGGATTAAAGTAATACACAACCTTAGACTTACTGGTGGGGAGAAGATCTGTGTAGTCTATCACACTAAATATTCTGTAGTGTACATATACTGTGTTTATTATAATTTACTAAAGAAAGCAATGTTGGAAAACTCTTGCTAAACTTTAATAGCTACACAAATGTTAGATATGCCATAAGAATGAATACAAAACCATATGTGTATATACATATGCTTATGAGATATATATACATATACCTATGTATTATTTATTATATATGTTATATATAATTAGGTATTAGATATATGCATTTAGATTTGAACATAGTGAATCTGCGATTTTGTTTGTGTGTGTATGGCTATATAACAGAGGTAGGATATGTGTGTGCATTTTAGGGAATAATTGAAACTGAGGTTGTTATGTTTCTTTAGACCATACAACATTATATTCCTGATACATAAACAAGTGTCATCAGATTTTACAATTGAATAACACCTTGAGTATCATTTAAGCAGGCTGTTCTGTAATTTTATAATGAAGCATATAAACCCAAGCAGAATGAATAACTTAGCTTAGTATCTGTGAGTTGGAAACTAAATCTCCGGTCTGTAGGAATTCTCACTTAATATATACAGTCATGCCCAGGTATTTATGGGATATCGTTCCAGGTTCTCCATGGATACCAAAAATCTGCAAGCGCCAAACGCCTCAATGTTATATATAACCTATGAACTTCCAATCATCTTTAGATTACTTATAATACCTAACAATGTAAATAGCTATCATACTATATTGCTTAGTGAATATTGATCAAAAAAGTGTACATGTTTAGTACAGAAGCAATTTTTCAAATATTTTCAATTGACTGAATCCATGGGTGTGGAACCCATAGAAATGGAGGGTTGACTGTACTTACATAATTCATGAAATTTTAAGAGTAAGATAGTCAGCATTTCCCAAAGTTGTTTGCCCTTGAACACTGTTTTGTTCTTTGACTGTGTATGTTAGGTGAGAAATCCTACAGAGCAGTTAACATTTGGTTGGATACTTGTGTTTTGTAGAACACAACTTGAGAAATAATACTTTGAAACCATACATAAAATGTTAACATATTTTAAAATAAATTGTAAGGTTATGTTCTGATTGTGAATGCATACTTTTCAATCTTTTATATTTGATAGAATTAGTTTCTTTTTATTTGGGGAAATAGAGTTAGTGATATACAACAGGGGAAGTTTTGAAAGACCTACTTAGGTGAATATCTGAATCTGATGAGAGGGAGCAAGGGCTTTTTTATACTTTGTCTTTTGCACGCTCCCACTCCTTGAGAAGTTCTGAAATTAGTTGTATATATACAGTGGTAGCTGAAGTGCTCATAGTACTGATGTCTATTAGAATAATTCAGCATTTTGTGTTTCATCTCTATAGAATCTGAAATCATGTATTTAACATTTTGTCATGAAATTGGGACTTAGTTTTAACTTAAAGGGGTTTTGTTTAAGGAGTATATGTAATAAGTATTTAGCTAGGATGTAAGTTTTTAAGTGTTTTTATTTGTAAAGCACTTTTTATGTTAATGAAACCACTGTCACGAACCTAGGAGTTAACATACTTTATTTAGAATGCTCTTTGTTATAATGGTATAATTTTATAAGATCTCCTAAGTTGCAACCTTTGGTACTCAGATAAATTTGCTTATGATATGGAAATTAATGTGTGTCTTATTGCATTCTTGTTATGAAATAGTCCCTCATAAATTTGGAAAATATGCATAAATAATGTGTTCTATTCTGATATCTAGCTATTCTATGTTGAATTATGGTCAGTAACCTGATAGTTTATATATGCTTTCTCTCCCTTTCTCTGTCTCTCACTCTCTTATTAATTTATTTTTTAGTGGTGGGAAAGACAGCTGTTACAATATGATGCAGTGCATTGCTGCTGGGCATCAGATTGTTGCTTTAGCAAATCTAAGACCCGATGAAAACCAAGGTAAGTTTATGATTTTATTAAGAAGTTCTCCAAGTGCCTGAAACTCAGATTCAGAATTGCACTTTATTATATGCAGTAGACAGAGGGGAAAAAAAGAACCAGTGAATATTTAGCCAGATAAGATATTCAATTCTTCATAGAAATCATTGTTGTTACTTACATGTCCTTTAATCTTCATAACAACTCCTAGAAAGAGGCATTATTATTCTTACTTTTAGTAGATTGGAATACTGAAGCTTTTGAATTTAAGTCTGTTCAAAGTAAAATAGCTAGCATAAACTTTTCAGAGCTGAGACTTGAACCCTCTTACTTCAGAATACACTGCCATTCCACTACACCTTATTTCCAAGTGTTGCAGGCAATATATAGATAGGTAAGATACAGTTTCATTTTGGCTTTTTTCCCCTTTTTTTCTTTCTTTTTATTCCCCCAATTAGAATTTTTTAAAAAATATATATGCTCACGAATTTGCTTTACTCTTTTGTTACATCTACATAATTAAACTGCTAAAATGTAAGGGAGAAAAGATTAGCACTGGCCTAATTTACAATTTTTGCTTTCCTATGTGTCTCTTCTAATAAGATGTTTTTATCATCCCCATACATAATATTTTTTCATACTCTATGCTTTTCATTTACTGTTGTTTTAGAATGAATTAAATGAGTAATATATGCGAAAACATTAATTATAGTTTCTGGTGTGAAGTAGGTATCCTGCAAATTTAGTTGAATGAGAATATTTCCTTTCTTCCCTTTTTTTCTTTTCCTCCCTTCAGTCCTCCTTACCTCCCATCTTTTCTTCCTTCTTTCCCTTTCTCCTGTGCCTTCTTCTCAGGGCTGCCAGTCTGTAGTATTTCTATTTTTATCTAATTTTATAGTTGTTTCTATTAATTTTCTCTTAGCCTTATAACCCCAAGTTAATTGATTATAATTTTTGAGAGGAGAGTTCATAACTTTCATCTTCCGTGGAATATTTCTTTGCACTTGGGACAGGTCTCTGACCCTGGTCAGAGTTCACTCAAGAGTTTGTTGATGGACCAATGAATAATGAACACACTTGAATTAGCTCTGGGATAGAGAGCAGTTATTTCAGTCAGGTATTTGAATTTTCTTTTCTCCTGTGACCAAGACCCAAGTAATGTTGGAAGCAATGTGGAAAAATAGACATCAGAAGTTTTTTATAAAAAGAAGTAGAACATATTCTATAGAGAGTCAGGAGTTAATACGCACTTTGAGGGTTCTCCATGAGAAATAGCTACTTTTTTTTTTTTAAGTAGTGAGTTTGTTTTCTTTTTTAAATGCTCTTCTAATTCTAAAATCAAGAAAGAGAAAACTCTATTAGGGTAATCAAGAACTGTACTGTAACCTATATCTTATAAAAGAAGAAAGTACATCTTTAAATTCAACCTGTTAGTGAAATGGAGGCATTTAGTTAGAATAGTGTTAGTGATTAAAAAAAATTCAATAATAAGAATTAAAATATTGTAAAGTAAAAAGCTGGAAAAATCAGCTGAAACTATCATAGAAGAGAACAGATTAATGTGGATTGGTAAATGAGAGAGTTTAGCCAATATTGATTTAAAGTTATCAGGAAGTTGGAATCATTGAATGATTCATTGAATGACTTCTCCCTGAAACGAGTTATAAAAGCAACTGCAGTAAGGAATGACTGCAGAATAGAGTTAGTTAAAAGGCATTCATGACATTGAATTTTCAATAGATAGTCTGAAAAGGCATTTATTTACATCCATGGGATGACATGCATTTGTCATAAAATTCACAAAACCATTTCTTTAAATTTTTAGTAGGAACTTTGTGGTGTTTTAATAGAGGCACTTCAGGCAACAGTGAAGCCTTTTGGTTTTATATGATGTCACACCCATTGTTGCTATGTAGCTTCCACTAATAAAAGTTACATTGTGGTTTGGACTAAATGAAACTTTAAAGAAAAATTATATTCTAGGTCTTTGAAGACAGTAAAATGTTTTAATTATAACAACACTAGGATATTTCTTGCTAAAAAGCTCAAATTTCTTTGAATAAATAAAAGGATAAATATATCTGTATCCCTTAACACTAATTAAGGGATACATTTAGAGATCCAGTCTAACTTTGAGAGATAGGCTAAAAGATTTTCAGGTCATTGGCTATCTATCTCTACTTTTTAGTGGGACTAGGAGGATTTCTAATAACCACATGAGTTCCATTCTGCAAGAAGCCAGTCTGATGTGTGGGTCAGAAACCTAACCTGGTGAGCCAAAGTGCAATGGCATATGATAACAGTTTTGATTGTTGAAAGAGTACTTAAAATATCATTCATTCCTTTTGATAGGATATTTCCACATTAAGTGGAAAACTGGATTTATTTGGTATATGTTCATACATACATACATGTATATCTGTCAAAGTAATTTTTTGTAACTTTTTTTAAACATACTGTGAATATTTTCTGTGTCACTAATATTATTTTACAACAGCATTTTCCTTAAGTCTTCTTTGGAACACAGATACCTCCATGAAATGTAAGATTTTTGTGGATAGATAAACTTAACAGATAGTTCACCCTCTTTCCCCTTATTAGAAGGCCTAAAAGAATATTATATGGGAAGAATTACAGAAGACATCTATTTAGCATTTTTTGTTCTCATATTTTACAAATTTATTTGACATGGAGTCTCTTTTTCCTCTAATAGCTATTGGTATATTATGGGATTTATATTTTACAGAACACTTTTTGGAAAATACTTTTTAGAAAATATACTTATATTACTGGATGCCTAGTATTTTACTATATGAATAAACCATAATTTTCAATCTAGTATAAATAATGAGTTGATGAATATATTTATAGATAATCTTTGTGTATATTCAGTATTCCTTTTCTATAAACTTATGAGATCCCATCTATTCTAACATATTTCTATGTTCATTTATATCACCACCATAAGATCTGATGTGACTCATTGAATATTTTATGCATATTGTTATTTGTGGAATCTTGTGACAACCAGTGATTGTGTTATTGAACAGTCTCAGTTGCCATGTTTCTGTACATACTTGCAACTATTCTGTCAATATTGAATTTGTATATGTTTTATTGAAGTACTGAATATAAAATACATCAAGAACATATAATTTTTTTTGCAAATATTTGTCACCGATTAACTAAGTGGATATTTTATTAATAAAAGTTTTTACTACATCTCTAATTTTGTGAATCACCTAGAATGATTTTTAAGAACTTTTATGTAATCAAAATTTGAATAAAGTAATCAAAATTTATTGGTTACATTGCTCTTTAAACATTGATGCATTTTGTTTTAAGATTTTTATATAATTTTATTTGTAATCGGCAGTATAGATGATTATTAGCACTGGTATGAAATAAATACAGCTGTGGACAAATATGCAATTTTTTTTGGTACTAGAGTTTGAACCCAAGGGCATTGAACCACTGAGCGACATCCTCAGTGCTTTTCATTTTTAATATTGAAACAGGGTCTTGATAAGTTGCTTAGGGCCTTGCCAAGTTGGTGAGACTAGCCTCTGACTTGCAATCCTCCTGACTAAGCTTCCTGAGTTACTGAAATTATAGGCATTTGCCACTGCACTCAGCCAAATTTGCAATTTTTATATATAGTTTTGCCATAAATGCAGAGAGAGTCATTAAACTTTTAAGTCTGTTGACTACTCTTCAAGCAGTAAAACCTACATAGAATTTTAAATCCACTTTTTCAATTTGTTTTGCTGATTATTTCCATTTTAATTGTTTCAGTGGGATCTGATGAACTGGATAGCTACATGTATCAGACAGTGGGTCATCAAGCCATTGACTTGTATGCAGAAGCAATGGCTCTTCCCCTCTACCGCAGAACCATAAGAGGAAGGAGCTTGGATATAGGACAAGTGTACACCAAATGTGAAGGTGATGAGGTTGAAGATCTCTATGAACTTTTGAAACTTGTTAAGGTATGCAGAATGAACTTTTACATTTTTTTCAATTTAGTGTGTAACTTTGTAAATTTAAATTGCTGAATTATTTAGTAGTAAATAATTTACAACTTAATAGCCCAACTCTTCTTTGAAAGGATCTTTTATCTTTTTCAGGATAGGAAAAAAAAAAACTATTACTATGCCTTTATACTAAAGGATATTTAAAAATGAAACTTTAGATATAGTCTGACATCCAGGCTTGTCAAATGATATTTAACTATTTTTTTTTCCTTAGGATATTGAAACCAATGGCTATTCAATTGTATTTTTAACAAATATTTTTAGAATGTCTACTATGTGCTCGGCTTATGGTGCAAAGCACTTGGGATAGGGCAATAAACAAATCAGACCAAGGCCTGTTCTGATGGATCATACTTTCTAATGGAAGACAGAAAATAAACAAATAACATGTTTTCTGTTGAAAAGTACTTTGAGAAAAATGAAGCAGAGTCAAGGAGATAGCAACTGATGGCAGGGCATGGCTGGGGAGTGGTACTATAGTTGATGATCAAGTAAGACCTTCCTCATAAGACAAAGTTTAAGTAAACCTAAAGCAAGTAGGAGACTGTGCCTTGCTTAAATCTGGTGGAAGAAGTTTGAATTAAATGTTTAAGTAATGTGTATCTGTTTGGCACTAATTAATTTCAGTAGACAAAATGTAGGAGAGAAGTATGAAGTGTGAGGCTCATGTATCTAATAAGGATTAATCTCAGTAATGTTAATTAATGGAGATGATTTTGTCTTGAGCAGTTATCTTTTCATTTTCATTGATAGCCAACTCTTCCAATACAGTTGAATGTTATTCTTAAATTTGAATTTTTATCCAGTCAGCTATAGTCAAATCATGTGAGGTATATTGATGATACAGGTATTTAGACCAATATTTCCTGGATATCTTAAAGTATTTTCATAAGGGAAAGGAAAAAAGATTTCTTGTTTGTTTCTCTACCAGGAGACACTGCAGTTTATTTTCTCATGCTTCAGATAAGTTCAGCCTTTTCAGAATTTTTATCATGAACCTGTGTTATGAAAATTTTCTAGTCTCAAATCACTATTTCATAACAACTTTAAATTTGATACCAATTAGAGCTTAATATTAATTTAGGATTTTGATTTGAAAAATATATGAAGCATTGAAATTCTTTTAAAGTTTGCTTGATTAAAGTGGTTCTTTTGTATATCAGAAATGTTTCATTTTTATTTAAAAAACTGATAGAAAAAACAATTCTGTAATTTATTATTTAACTATAGATAGGACAAGGAGTAGATGCTTTTCAAAGGAAATCATAGGGGAGATATATGTTAATTACAACATTTTGATTATCAAAGAAAGGTGTAGGAATAAGAGTCTGCTTTTAACAGGCATCTTTACAAAATGTACAATTATAATTTCAACAATGTTCTCTTTGAGATGTGAAATATTGAGTGCAAATCCTGCACTTTCAAAATCTCTTTTTCAGGGTACACAGAAATTGCAGAAGAAATTTTGAAATATAAGCCAATTTTACAAAATGGTAGAACTCATATTAGAAGTAATTGGGTTACAATAAAAATCACAAACTTAGTAACTTTGGAGAAACTCTGTGATAACAGCCCTGCAAAAAAAAGGAAAGATAATAAATTACTAATCAATTTAATTAAAAATGGCCAGATTAGTAGTAATTAAGAAGAATTTTCCCTTTTGATCCCTGCTGTCTTTGGGAAATGGATGCTTTGCCATTATCTTTATAGTAACAGTCAGTTATGACATAAATTAATGCTAATGTTAAATCTTGACAACTTCTGCTTTGGAATTTCATGCATGATAATTATAACTATAGTTGAAAGAGATGTTATCAAGTTGTCTGGTACTAAATAGTTTCTTCTTTTTCTGTATAAAAATATTAATTTTACTATAGGATATTTTAAGGACATAAATATGGGAAATATATAGTTTTTGTGAAAGACATTGTACAACCAGGCTTTTATGGTAAAATCCATAGAGGTCCTGCATATTCTAATGAATAATTGAGTAATTATGGGAAAAACTAATCTAGGAAAGCTATAATTTTTCAAGTTATTTTCACTTGTTCTAAGAAAAATACAGAGCTACATTTTAATCCTTTAAATATTAATGAAGCATTGAAAACATTTAGATTTATTTTTATTTTAAACATTTATTTATTTAAGTTATGTGACTTTCATATTTAAGTTCATTTTTGTTTCTTTAGCTCTTTGCCCCATGCAAATATTAGAGCTAGTTTTTGACTGGGTGATTTTCTATTTTACAAGGAATTTAATTTACTGATTACTCAAAATAAGAGAGGAAAACTTGGAATAATTTATAGTGTTATAAATTTTCTGTTTTGTAGAAATTATGAAAACTAATTGAAATGTAATAAGCCTTCAGGTAACTGACAGATATATATCTCAAGCTGTTTGCAAAATTTCTGGCTTTTATGTGACTACTCTTTCTTTATTCTTTAAAATTTCTGTAATATTGAAATGTAACTTTGATTCTCAAGTAGTTTGATTTGGTATTATAGATAACCTATATTATATTCTGAAAATTCTGTAATTTTCAGATTGTGTGAGTTTTCTTTTTAAGTTACATAAACAATATGAAAGTTTTCAAAAGACATGCATAAGCATCATATTTCTATAGACAACATTTAAGTATCAACATATCATTTTTTTTTCTCCATTAGCTTGGAGCTACTTCCTCTGGCTCTGATGTCCTCTTCTTTTTTATTTCAATTTTACTTCAGTGGGATCATCTTTAAGAAACTTCTTCAGAGAGGGTATTTTCCAAACCTTGTAGTTTGGAGATATTCCCATTCGGTTGGACATTTTATTTATATGTTAACTTGAATTTAGAATTTGAGGATGAAATTAATTTTTTCCTTAAATCATTGAAAGCACTGCTCACTGTCCCCTAGCCTTTTCCTGATTCTGATTTGATTTTTGTTCATCTTTATGTGACTTGTTTTTGTTCTCTGTTAACTTTTATGATTGGGTCTTTATACTTGGTGTACCACAATGTCACAATAATGCCACATTGAACATTGAGGGATTCTTCTCCTGAATCCCTTCCATAATTCCCTATTTAGTGGCATATCACTGTCTTGTTTCCCTCATTGATGATTCATGGGCATGTAATCCTGGTGAAAATCAGTCACAACAGGTCATTCTTCTGGCTATAGTGATACGTGTTGACCAATGTTGGTCCTAATAGAACGATGCTAGGATGATGGGTAATTGGCAGAAGATAACTCTTTCCTTACACATAGAAAGATGTATGGGTAAAAGGCCTAGGACTTCTTTAACTTTTTATTTCATTTTTTTTTTTTAAGGAAGATTACTTGATGTCAAATCTGACACACAAAAAATATCAGAGCCAATAGAAGTACAGTATAAAGATTGTTCTGGGAAGTGCCCTTTCATTATTTGTTTGATAATTTGCTCCTTTTGATATATTCTCTGTTCCTTTTTTCTGATACTCTTACTGGTCACATATTAGAAAATTGAATCTTCCTGTGCCTTGTCTTTTCTCACATTTTTTTCATACCTGAGTCTTTTTTGTACATTCTGCAAAAGTTACTTTTAAAAACTCTGTACTTTCTTATTGATTTTTTTTAAATTTTAGCAATTATATTTTTCAATAGTCATAAACTATTCTTATTCATTGATTGTATCTTTTTTACAATAACTTTTTTCTCTTTAGGGGCAGAATTCCTACATCCTTCTTAAAATATGATTAAGAGATATTAAGTATTATCTTTCTTCCCTGAAATATTAGTGTTTTCTCAGGGATCTTTTTTCATGTTTTCTTTACTTTCATGCTGTAGGCTTTTCTCAGATGTCCTGGTTGCCTATTCAAATATATGAATAAGGAAAGAGGAAAGTTGACTATAAATGCTTTTGATTTAGTTTTTTTTAAGTCTTACATTTCATATTTGTTATATCTGGAGTATACCAAGCCTAACTTTGTTCCTTTCTTGATTTTATTCTCTTCCATACAAAGAGTGGATTATAGTTTCCTGTGCCGATTTATCAGTCATCATTCTTTCATCTACTTTCTGACTCAAGAAGTTAATTAAAATCCTTTAGCATTGATGGTTCCCTCTTGTTCTTCTTGTTTTTGAGGAATTGTACCTTTGCTTTCATTTTAATGAAATCTCATGATTTAGAAACCTGTGTTAACGTCATTCTAATATATTATATTTAATATGCTTAAATTAAATTCATTTCATTTTCAGTCTTCCTTTTCTAAGTTTTGGTGTTATTCTTTTTTGTTTTGTTTTTTTCCTCTTGCAGTTTCTTATCTTCATATTGACCTTAAAATTCTTCTAGTAATTTGAATATAATAATGTATGAATAATTGCCTTTTTTCTCTTCTTTTTTAAATGGAATATTTTCTATTGAAAGAAATATAAATAAATGACTGGTTTTATTTAAAAACTAGATTTTAATATAATGCTTTGAGGAAATATCAGTTGGCTCTTTCTTTATACTGGTTAGAATATTTTGGTTAAAGGGAAGAAAGTCACATTCAAGAAGTATTAAATGAAAAGAGAATTTATTGGCAATAATCTAAAAGGAGGTTTGGCTTCAAGTAACTAAATATAGGACCAAAATATAAAAGTCTAATTTCTTATTTTGTTGGTTTTCTGTTTCTTTTTTAGCCTCTCCTTTCTGTTGACTCTGTTCTCAGTTGAGATCTTTATAGTTAGAGAAATGCTCCCAGTTATAAGTCTTCCTGGTTCAAATCTAGTAAGAAAAGCTCTGTTTTCTTTAATACCTCAAGACTTCCTTAACCTGGCTCTTATCATTCATGAGCCAGGCATTGTTTTAAGTAAATAATTTCATTTGACTGTGCAGGCCTTGATTATCTGCCATTTCTGTAGTGAGAGATAGAGTCAAGATTACTGGAACCACATTTTCTAGGAGCAAGGAAATCATGAATCTCCAAGTATAAATCAGGCTGGTCCTCCCTA